AAAAGAAACTACAAAATGGGGAAAAAATATTTGCAATATATACATCCAACAAAGGATATATATTCAGAATACAGAACTCTAGAAAAAGACATGTATTTCAATTTAAAAAGGTCAAAAGATTTCAAAGGTACTCTATGAAAAATGAAATCCAAAGTCCCAGGTATGAAAAAGTGCCCCATTTAGTAATGAGGGAAATGATTAAAACTAAACACAACTACATACCCACCAGGATTGGCTAGAATTGAAATATATGATACCAAGTCTGGTTGTTGGTAAGGGATACGAAACAAGAACTCTTACATACTAACAAATGAAGCAAAAATTAATAAAAAACTACTTTGGAAAATTACTTGGCATTATCTGATAAAGACAAACATTCCCCGTGTTCTTGCAATTCAAATTCTAAGTATATAACCTCAAGAAAACTACAAAAACATGCTTCTGTGCATTTTAACAGAAATGTTCATAAAATCATTGTTTATAATAGCCCCAAACTGCAAGCAATCTAAATGCAATATCCAAAACGAAGGAATAAACTTGTTATATTCATAATAGAATACTATGAAACAATAAAAGCTAAAAATTAAATATATACAAGATAATCTTATTTATATAAAGTTCAAAAAAATGGGCAAAATTAAACTCTTATTATTTAGAGATGTAAACTTACATGGTAAAACTATAAATGTCAGAACAACATTTATATCTGGCTTAAATGATGATGGTGATAGTTGATGGGAAAATAGGTGGTGCAAAGCTTCTGGCAATGTCTGTCTTGCCCTGGGGGTAGTTACAAAGATTGTTTAAAAATATTTCATTTTTTGGCTGGGCGTGGTGGCTCATGTCTGTAATCCTAGCACTTTGGGAGGCTGAGACAGGCAGATTAGTAGTTCGAGACCAGCCTGACCAATGTGGTGAAACCCCATCTCTACCAAAAATACAAAAATTAGCAGGGCATGGTGGCACACGCCTGTAGTCCCAGCTACCCGGCAGGCTGAGGCAGGAGAATCACTTGACCTGGGAGGTGGAGGTTGCTGCAAGCCAAGATCGTACCACTGCACTCCAGTCCTAGGTGACAGAGCAAAACACAGTTTCCAAAACAAAACAAAACAAATTTCATTTTTATCTTCTATATCTTTTCAGTCTGTGTAGTTAGACTTCCCAATAACACTCTGGGGGCGGGGGTTCAAAAAAGAATTCTAAGAATGTTACTCAAAGAGATTAACTCTTAATCCATAGCTTAAAAACAGGGATCTCTACATCCAAATGCAGAGATTCATGAATAAACTTTTGGCTTTAGGCTACACCTATAATCCTAGAACTTTGGGAAGCTGAGGTGGGTGGATCATTTGAGGTCAAGAGTTTGAGACCAGCCTGGCCAAAATGGTGAAACCCCACCTCTACTAAAAATACAAAAATTAGCCAGGTGTGGTGGTGGGTGCCTGTAGTCCCAGCTACTTGGGAGGCTGAGGCAGGAGAATCACTTGCACCTGGGAGGTGGAGCCTGCGGTGAGCTGAAGATTGTGCCACTGTACTCCAGCCTGGGCAACAGAGGGAGACTCTCAAAACAACAACAACAATAAAACACAAAACAAAACAAACAAATGAAAAGTTTTGGCTTTAATCTGTTGGACTACCATTATTCATCCCAATTTTGAAATGGAATGTGAAATTTTCTGTCATCAAATTACTCAACAAGTCATGTACATTCTACAATTTTAAGATTGAATTCCTTACTTCTAATCTTGAAATCTGAAATTAGAGTCCAGTATTGACTAGACAGCTATAATGTAGTTTTGGATTAGATAGTATCATGTAAAATAATATATAAAGTTTGATAATGTCAGTTTTTGCAAACATAATTAAATTCCTCAAACCTGTTACAGATTTAACTCATGCTACTTAAGAAAAAGTGGCCAGGCGCAGTGGCTCATGCCTTAATCCCAGCACTTTGGGAGGTGGAGGCAGGCTGATCACTTGAGGTCAGGAGTTGAAGACCAGCCTGGCCAATATGGTGAAAGCCTATCTCAATTAAAAAATGCAAAAATTAGCTGGGTGTGGTGGCATGTTCCTGTAATCTCAGCTACTCAGGAGGCTGAGGCAGAAGAATTGCTTGAACCCGGGAGGCAGAGATTACAGGGAGCCAGGGTGGTGCCACTGTACTCCAGCCTGGGCAACAGAGTGCAAATTTCATCTCATTAAAAAAAAAAAAAAAAAAAAAAGCATATAATGGTGTGGGATGAAATATCAAAGCCACGAATTCAAACATAAAATTCAATGATTAAAAATTTTTTTTACTGCCCTATTCCTATATTTATCAAGTCATGACACAAAAAACAAATTTATATTTTATGTCGAATGAATTTAACTATTACAGACTAATGAAATATTTATCGACTCAAAGCTGCTTAAAAGTTTTTAAAATGTGGGTTAAAGTGTAGACTTTTGGGGTTCCTGCATAAAAGGATATGTTCATAGTTTTTAAAAAAGAACGAAAATACTTCAGAAATTTTCAAATGTATGTTTTTTTTCCTTGTGAGGCGTGAAGATAGCACAGCCAATTTATTGAGTCACTAAACTGGCAAGACACTTTAAATTCAGATTAGGCAAAGCAACACTTAAAAAAAATTTATTAAACAACTTTAATGAGAAATTATTTTCAACCCATATCTGGCTCTGATCCAGCACTTTTCATAACTTCATAGAGGCTTTTTCATAATTTCATAAAGCCAGAAAAATACTACACAGCTAAATATCTACTATTAAAAAATAAAAAATAAGGCCAATCAAAAACTAAGTTACTTAAGAAGTATCACTGGGAAAGTCTTTAATAACCACTAAACACCATCATACATCCTCAAGTATAGTGGATGTCTAAAAAGATGACAAAGCCCTAAGCCTACAGTTGTTTTATTTTTTTTTTTTTAGTTATTTTTATTATTTTTTTGAGACGGAGTTTCGCTCTTGTTACCCAGGCTGGGGTGCAATGGTGCGATCTTGGCTCACCGCAACCTCCGCCTCCTGGGTTCAGGCAATTCTCCTGCCTCAGCCTTCTGAGTAGCTGGGATTAGCAGGCACGCGCCACCGTGCCCAGCTAATTTTTTGTATTTTTAGTAGAGATGGGGTTTCACCATGTCGACCAGGATGGTCTCAATCTCTTGACCTCGTGATTCACCCGCCTCGGCCTCCCAAAGTGCTGGGATTACAGGCTTGAGCCACCGCGCCCGGCCTCCTACAGTTGTTTTAATGAGGTAATGTGTCACAACACAATGTTTCACAAGGTGAACAGGGAAATTTAGGGGTACTCCCTGGTTTTTCACACTTTTAAAATTAGACTTGGTGATTTCAAAGTGTATAATTCAATGATTTTCAGCAAATCTGCAGAGTTGTGCAACTGTAGCCATCTCGTACTACTCCCTTACTGTGTACAGTTCTATAACATCAAGGTTCCCTACCCAGGTGTAAAATTTGTTCCAGTACTAGGGCTGTTAAAAAGATTTACCAGAGGCCAGGCGTGGTAGCTCTCGCCTATAATCCCAGCAATTTGGGAGGCTCAGGAGGGTTGATCAACTGAGGTCGGGAGTTAAGACCAGACTGGCCAACCTGGTGAAACCCCGTCTCTACTCAAAACACAAAATTAGCAGGGCGCTGTGGCGGATGCCAGTGATCCCAGCTACTTTGGGAGGCTGAGGCAGGAGAATCGCTTGAACCCGGGAGGCAGAGATTGCAGTAAGCCGGGATCATGCCATTGCAGCACTCCAGCCTGGGCAAAGAGAGCGAAACTCCATCTCAGGGGAAGGAGAGAGAGGAAAAAAAAAAAGGGATTTACCAAAGCATCCAAAGAAATGTCCTGAAATACTTGATTCCGTGAAACCACTCCCCTATCAGTTAAAGATTTAAAAAATTTTACAGATTATGAAAATCTTCCTTATCCTTGTACCTATGACCTATCTAGAGGATCCCTAAGCATGCTTATGCAGTTCCCACCTCTACCAGAAGCGCTGGGAAAATCACCTAGGTTATCTAGCTTCCCCCAAAATATTTTACACTATTGTGAGATTTCCTTAAGATTCAGGAGCTAACGTTTATTTTCTTTCTGCTTTCCTGGAGGAGCAAAGGCCCTGCACGTGTGAACGGAAACAAAACCCACACAGACTCTAGGGATGCCAAATATTAATACTATGGGTAGGGGCACCTTCCTTCTCGACAGAATTCCCTTTCCCAACGAGCCTTCAGTCAATGCCCACTGAGCCTGGATCAAAGGTCAAGATCGCCTGGATCAAGAAGGGTCCCGGACAAGCTTGAACTCGTTTCCAGAAGCAGGGGCGTCCGGGAAGCAGCAAACATTTTTACCGCACGCTCTAATGAAGATGGTTGCACAACAGGCTTTGAGAATTCCGGTTTAACAGGTAAATACCAACAGAGGATGAGCCGAGGGAGATGGGATCTGCTCCACTGCACCGATGGCATTTCGAAAATGTCTGCGTCGCAGAGCAAACCCAAAGTTTTAGCACATTACTCAGAGTTCTCCTGAGGAAGATCGCCACGAACAGAAATGAATAAAGTGAGAAAATGGGTGCTGTGGAGTCAACGCATCCACGATGAACTCAAGCTGGGCGAAAAAATTCTTTGAATACTCGGGCTTTGTTTTGTGCTAAGACAACAGAACTCCCGAATCTCGGAGTTGGAAGACCCGTTTCTCCGTGTTCTCCCGCCCGTTGTCGGACTTCAGGGCCGCCCGCACGCCCGCCCGCCGCGCACTCAGTCCCGTAGTTCCCCGTGCTTCAGGCGCGGACCTTCCTGGGGGGCGGAAGCCAGGGAGACGCGGGGAGGCCGCGGTCCGGCCCGCGACGCCAGGGCCCGGAGAATGGAGGGGAGCGGCCACCCGGAGCTCCACGGAGGGAGGGGAAGGAGCGAGCCAGGAGGCTGAGGGCCGGAGCGGGGAGCAGCCTTGAGTGGCGCCCGGTCCGACCCCCACCCCGAGGCCCGGTCCCACGTACCTTTGGCGAGGGCTACGGTGGAGTTTTCGGTGTCGATGGTGTAGAGGATGCCCTCGTAGCGGATCTCTGCCTTGGAGATGAGGCTTATCTTGCTGCCGATGTAAGGGGTGCCCCCGCTCATGGCGCCGCCGCCGCCGCCTCCCCGGGCCGCTCGCAGAGAGGCAGATCCCACGCCGCTGTCGCCCGCTCCGCACGCCCGCTCGCTAGGTCGGCGCCTACAGCAGCCGCTTCAGACCCAACATGGCGACGGTGCCGGCTCCGCTACCCTCCCCCAGCCTCCCGCCCTCAAGTCGCGGCGCGGCGGCGGCCGCGGCGGCAGCGGCGGCGGCGCGGAGCATGCTGGGAGGGCGAGGCCGCGCCCTCGCGAGACTTGGCAGGTGGCGGGTGGTTCCCGACTGCTTGGCGGCTTCGGGAGTCCTGTCAGCGCCTATTTACCTGGGCTACGACGGCAGTCCTGGGGCAGCGTGAGAGGAATTTCGGGGACTTGCTGAGTGCCTCGTGGCACCCGCTCGCTGAGGGCTGGAGAGGAGGCGCGCGGCCCTCCTGACCCAGGCCGCGGCCTCTTTGTCGTGGGTCCCGTGTCTTTGCCGACGCGAGGCCCCCCGTCTGGAGCGCTGCCCACCCACCTGCCTCCGAGCTTTGGCGAGTCGCTGCTCATCCTTTTAAGACGCTGAACCTGTACCTCGTGGAGCTTCCACGGCTCCATTACCGCAGCCATCGCCCAGGAAGTTTCCCCTGAGGTTGCTCCTGGAGCTGGGGCTCTCAAAAGGACCCAGTTTTTCAGCTCGCCCTGTCCCGCTCGTTCATCTGGTCTGAACCAGCCTAATGGCTTGCATCGCCATTGCAACTCACCAATCCCAAGTATCAGTCTGTAACTTGGATCAATTCCGTGAACTCCGATTTCTGTGGAATTGGTATCTCAAACGTTAAGGGTCCAAAGCCATGCTCCCTGTTTCTCCTCTAACCTGCTCCTTCACCACCGTTCCCCATTGATGTAACAGGTACCATTTTTACTCAGCTGCTCAGACTAAAAGCCTTGAGTCAGCCTTGACCTCTGTCTTGCCTCCACATCTGTTCTGAGTACACCTCTGTTATGTCTACAGAATATTTCCTAAATCTGACCCCTTCTCCTCATCTCCATCCCTACAGCTGCACGACAAGCCGCGATTACTCTGGCTAAGTTATTGCAGCAGCCTTCTAAAAGTTGCTTTTGTGTCAACCCTTGCCCTCTAGTTTATTCTCAACACAGCAGCCAGAGAGAACTTGTTAAAATCGAACTCAGATCATGTCCTTTCTCTACTCACTCTACTGATCCCATGTTACACAGAGAGGAAACCAGACTGCTTCAAAGGACATGCATGATTTTGCTTCTCGTTCTGTTCCAGTCACGTCTAATTCAACTAGTATTTGAACACTTTATTCCAATCTCTGCTCAAATATCACCTCCAGAGATGACGTCCCTGACAACCTTGTTTAAAATAATACCACCCACATCACTCTACATCCCCTTAACTCAGTTTGCATTTTCTTCATAGCATGTATCTCTCTCAAGTATGTTTACTTATTTGTATGTGTCTGTCTCTTTCATTAGAACATAAACATTTTGAGATAGGGATGTTGTTTTGGTCACTGCTGTATCATCAGGGCCTGGTACAGCACCTGGCTCAGGGCAGCTGCTCAGTTAATATTTGCTGAACAAATAAACAGCAGGATGAAGGCAGAGCACAGGCAGAATGGTGGTGAGCTAAGAGAGCAAATGGCAAGAAGCCTGGCATCTTAAGAGAGGGATGCGGCCGGGCGCGGTGGCTCACGCCTGTAATCCCAGCACTTTGGGAGGCCGAGGCAGGTGAATCACGAGGTCAAGAGATGGAGACCATCCTGGTCAACATGGTGAAACCCTGTCTCTACTAAAAATAGCTGGGCACAGTGGCGCGTGCCTGTAATCCCAGCTACTCAGGAGGCTGAGGCAGGAGAATTGCCTGAACCCAGGAGGTGGAGGTTGCGGTGAGCCGAGATCGCGCCATTGCACTCCAGCCTGGGTAACAAGAGCGAAACTCCATCTCAAAAAAAAAAAAAAAAGAGAGGAATGCAGGAGAGAGAGCTCTGATGGGGCTGGTGCACAGTGGCTACAAAGAAAGGTTTGGAAATCCCTGTTTCAAAGGTTTGGAAATCACCTGTCCTATGAGGAAGGTGAATTCTTTGTTTTTGTTTTTTTTTTTTTGAGACATTCTCTGTCACTTGGGCTGGAGTGCAGTGGTTCCATCTTGGCTTACTGCAACCTCTGCCTCCTGGGTTCAAGCGATTTTCCTGCCTTAGCCTCCTGAGTAGCTGGGATTACAGGTGCATGTCACCACGCCTAATTTTTTTTGTAGTTTTAGTAGAGATGGGGTTTTGCAATGTTGGCCAGGCTGGTCTCAATCTCCTGGCCTCAAGTGATCCACCCGCCTTGGCCCCCAAAGTGCTAAGATTACAGGCAAGAGCTATCATGCCCGGCAATTCTTTTAAGGCGAAATAATATCCCTTTGTATGGACATACCATATTTTGTTTATCAGTTGATGAACATTTGGGTTGTTTTCACTTCTGCTACTATAAATATCCATGAATACCTCTATGAGCAAGTTTCTGTGGGAACATGTGTTATCAGTTCTCCTAGGAATGAAGTGGTTGAGCCATATGGTAACTTGAAGTTTAACTTTTTGAGGAACTGTTGAACTATTTTCCAAAGCAGCTACACTCTTTTACATTTCCACTGGCAATTGTATGAGGGTTCCAATTTTCTCCACATCCTCACCAACACCTATTGTTGTCTCTCTCTTTTTTTTTTTTTTGAGGCGGAGTTTCGCTCTTGTTACCCAGGCCAGAGTGCAGTGGCCCTATCATGGCTTGCTGCAGCCTTCCTAGTCTCAAGCAGTCCTCCACCTCAGCCTCCCAGGTAGCTGGGACCACAGGTGTACACCACCATGCCCAGATAATTCTTGTATTTTTTTGTAGAGACAGGGTTTTGCCATGTTGCCCAGGCTGGTCTGAAACTCCCAGACTCAAGTGATCCTCTCACCTTGACCTCCCAGAGTGCTAGAATTATGGGCAAGAGCCCCATACCCGGCTACCCACTTTTAAATTGGGCAATTTGTCTTTTTATTGTTGAGTCGAAAGAGTCCTTTTATATGTTCTGGATACAAGTCCCTAATCAGATCTATAATTTTCTTTTTCTTTTTCTTTGAGATGGAGTTTCGCTGTTGTTACCCAGACTGGAGTGCAATGGCATGATCTTGGCTCACCGCAACCTCCGCCTTCTGGGTTCAAGCAATTCTCCTGCCTCAGCCTCCCGAGTAGCTGGGACTACAGGCATGCACCACCATGCCCAGCTAATTTTTGTATTTTTAGTAGAGACGGGGTTTCACCTCGTTGACCAGGATGGTCTCTATCTCTTGACCTCGTGATCCACCCGCCTTGGCCTCCCAAAGTGCTGGGATTATGGACGTGAGCCGCCGTGCCCGGCCAGATCTATAATTTTCAAGTTGTCTCTCTCATTCGGTGAGTTGGTTGTTTTTCACTTTCTTGATGGTGTCCTTTGAAGCACAAAAGTTTTTAATTTTTATAAAGTCCAGTTTATCCATTTTTTGGTTGTTGTTTGAACTTTTGGTGTCATATCCAATAAAGCATTGCCTAATCTAGGATACAATATTTACCCCCAATGTTTTCTTCTAAGCTTTATGTGTTAGCTCTTACATTTAGGTCTTTGATTTATTTTGAGCCAATTTTTGTCTATGGAATAAGGCGGACTTTGAATTTTGGCTGAAATGGAGATGGGATTAAGAAGCTTTTAGATTGGCTGGGCTCAGTGTCGCACGCCTGTAATCCCAGCACTTTGGGAGGCCAAGGCTGGTGGATCACCAGGTCAAGAGATGGAGACCATCCTGGCCAACATAGTGAAACCCCGTCTCTACTAAAAATACAAAAAACTAGCTGGGCTTTGTGGTGCGCGATTGTAATCCCAGTTACTTGAGAGGCTGAGGCAGGAGAACACTTGAACCCAGGAGGCAGAGGATGCAGTGAGCCAATGTCGTGCCACTGCATGCCAGCCTGGCAACGAGCAAGATTTTGCCACAAAAAAAAAAAAAAGAAAGAAAAGAAAAAAGCTTTCAGATCAAACAGGAGATGAAGGAGTGATTACAGGAGGAAGAGTGAGATATATGTTCTGGGAAGGAAGCAATTCAGTGTGGCCAGAGCCTAAGGTATGCAGAGTATATTAGGAGTTACAGTGAATAGCAGTGGCCACAGCAAAGATGGTGAGGGGCTTGTTTCTCCCATATTGTCCATCAGCCATACCCTAGCCTCAAAGTAAAGACAAATATAGGGAAAAGACAGTGTACTAGATAGGAGTTGCTTTGGAGAAGCCTCACAGATCCTTCAGGTCTCCTCTCCTTCCCCATAGCTCCTCAAGTGAAGAAATTCTAGAGCTGCTACTGCTGAAAACATTAATGAGGAAGAATTTATTTTTTCTACAAGCTACCAGGAGCTCTTAAGCAGGGAAGCAACCATGGATTTTTGATTTTTAGGAAGCTTGTGATGGTCACAAAATATGTCACAGTTCTCAACGTTGTTTCTAGTACATGAAATGGAGATTAATGTGCATATTACACTACGGGCTACCAATCAATAGCTGCATTATGCCTAGTTCCTGCCACAGTATGGTGCAGGAAACCATGAGTTTCAAAACATAAAGTAGAATCTACAAGATTGGTGACTGGTGACTGATTGGGTGTAGCCAGATAAGGACTCCTAGTTCCAGGACCGAACACCTAAGTGAGTCCTAGGGCCAGTGATGGGCATAAGGAGAGTGGATAAAGAGCAGCTTATTTGGTGGGAGGATGAAAATATTAATAGATGCAGGTAATTTTGCCCTTGTTGATCTGGAAGTGCCTGTTGGGACACCTGAGCAATTGCATCTACTTTGTAGTTGGTATGACCCTAGAAGTCGGGAGATCTGGAATGGAGATGTAAATTTGGAAATTGTTATAGATGGAAAAGGATAAGCTCGCTCTCAGTGGCTCATTTCTGTAATTCCAGCTACTTGAGAGGCACTCCAGCCTGAGTGACAGAGTGAGATTCTGTAAAAAATAAATAAATAAATGCCTGGAACAGGCAGATCCGTAGAGGCAGAAAATAGTGGATTAGTGGCTGCAAAGGCCTGGGACATAGGGGTGAGGAGTGGGAATGGGAAGTGATTCTCAGTGGGTACAGGGTTTCGTTTTGGGGTGATGAAAATGTCTGGAAGTAAGCAGGGCACAGTGGCTCACACCTGTAATCCCAGCACTTTGGGAGGCCGGTGGAC